ATTAATATCATATAGATATTATTTAATTAAATTGGTTTTGATCCTTAAAATAAATTAAAATTTCAACTTTAAATTCTGTTATTTTATTTAATTAAATGCAATTTAAATTTAAAAATTTATCTTATTAAATATCTTAAACTAAATGTCATGTTCAATTTTAGATAAATATTTTACTCACATTAATTCTATTGTTATCGCTTATAGTATCATTTTTTCTTACTTCCAAAGTTTTTATTGATTGTTCAAAATAATATAAATAAAAATATAAATTATTCTTGAATTCATCAATAAAAAAATTATCCTTAAATTATTAATATAGAGAAAAATAAAACTATTACTTATATTATTTCGAAATAAAAGAAGTAAGAACAATATAGACGAATATGTATTTTCCTAAAATTCTTAATCTCTGGGAGATCGTATTGTTTACAAACCTTGAATCCGAGGTTGGTTATGCGTACACAAATGCAAGAGTTCAGACGCACTTTGGATGTTTGTAGCCCTCTCATCTGTCTCTCGTGTAATCAGTGCCTAAATAATGCCCATATGTACTTAAACCAATAAAAAAAAAATCAAAAAGCATTATTTTCATTAATCTTTTCCATTTTTAAATACATATATATGTTATATATGTGATGTTTAATTGGATGAAGTAGTTATTATTTGGTCATTGATAAAATAAAGTAAAAAAAATTTGTTAAGTATAACTGGTAATTAAGAGATAATAACCAATACATGACAAAATTCTTGTTAGTAATTACCAATCTTTGTTAGTAATTACCAATGTTAGAAGTATATATATTTTCTCTCATATTATTTTAGGATTTGTTAAGGATTTGTTAAGGGCACAGGTTTACTCTTATTAATTACAAAATTTATAATTAATTTTATACAAATTTTCATATCAAATTCATATTTTTTTTTTATAGATTTTGAGTATAAATATTATATTTTATTTTAATTTTACAATTTATATTTTATTTTAACAGAAACTAATATAAAAATTTATGCAGAATTAATTAAAAATATTACATTTAATGTAACTTAACTTGTGCAGTAAAGATACATGTTAGAAGATTCCTTATATTTATATACATTAGTTATTGCCTCCCTAGCTGTAACCTTAATTTCCTATTCTTATAAAGGAATTTTCTCGTGAAAAAAATAATCTTTAACAACCGAACACTTATATTGTTCGCATTGTTCTTTTAACAACATGCTTTAATTGTTTTGATGATAAAGGCAAATGCTTTTCTTAAAATTTAATTTTCAAAAAACCCAAAAAGATTATAAATGACTAATCTATTAATTAAGGATGGACAAACATCAACACAAAATCGTAAATATTTAACTTTTCACACGTTATAAGAATGGCCAACCCATTTATCACACAAAGAACTTAAAAAAAAAAAATGAAACACTTTCCTTTTTCTTGTTTTCCTTTTCCATTTTTTTTGCTTTTTCTATTTTATAATGTGCGTGTGAATGGTTTGAATTTAGGAGTGTAATAAAAATCTCTTTTATTGGAACCTTTGGTTTGCTTTTTAATTCTTTTTTTCATCTATATTGTATAAGCTTGGGTTTCTATGAAAAGAAATACAAAATTTATATAAATTTTATTATTGTTTTCACTTGGATAAATTATAGTATTTAAATTTTTATACGATAAATTTTAAGATAATGGTAGATTTACCCTTTGTTTTCACGCACTCCGTTACACCTTTTAATTTTTGTCACTGTCCGTTAATTACACTTAACTCTCCGTTACCATCTTTCCTTTCTCTTCCTCACTGTTCACCATCCTCGCTAACCAGGCCAAAACCTGCAATTTTGTGCAAGAGCAATAGCAGAGACAAAGCAATCATCAGCCCTCTACCACGTTCCCACCTTCTTACTTTTTTTTTTTTTGGTCCCGGGTTCTCTGGGTTCTCCTGAAGAACCCAGACTGGGTTCTCGGAGAACC